AAATTTTATTAGGCCTTTTTAAACAGTATAGGAGGCAATATGACTTATTATATATCTATATAATATATATATATATAAGCCTTATTGATATGTAAAAAAAGATCATTTTGTTTCAGGTATTTGTTTTAATTAGTTTTATTACCAGCTCTTTCTGATATCTTTAAAAAAAAATTATGTTTAAAAAAAAATTATGTTATTCATACAGAACTGGGGTACAGGCCAGAGGTGCAGGGGCAGTGAGAGGATTCAGAGACAGAGCTGGGAGCAGAACAGGCAGATCAATGAAGTACACTGCTGAGGGGAGCAGCGGGCGAGACAGGAGCAGTCTGCAGCGCCGTACGGGTCACCTCCGGGACTAGGATCAAACTAGCTTGCAATGCTGTGCTCTAACCCATTGTGCCACCAGAGAAGGCCTTTTCTTAGGTCATTCTATATTTATCTGTGAAGTTAGCCCCCCACCCACACTTTCTCTTTTTAAATAAACTTGCTCAGTATTTCTGTGCTATTAGCATTTCACTGAGCTGTCTTTTATGCTTAGATTTCCATAATATGATTTGGTTTTTGAAACAGATGAGTATTGGCATTAACTACAAATGTGTGGTTATATAATAATCTAATATTGCCAATGTCCCCTAGATAAAATGACTTAAGAAAAATAGGCATTTATAAGAGTAGGGAAAAAACCAGACAACATTATCAAGTGTGCCCGGCCTTTTTCTGGCCCTCAGTCTCCCTTTTGTCCCTCCTCCCTTCCTTTGGTGTGTGATTCCCCAAGAAGAACACACAGTGCCCTTAAGACTACCCATCTCGTAAGACTTACAAAGAATTGCCTTAGGCACTGACCGTTCTCTCCCAGCTCTGTCCTTCAGGACCTTCATTCTTTCTGGACGGGGTAGGGAACAACTAAAGTGTTCATAGCTACTACTGCCCAACTTCAGTGACCCTTTGTATTAGCCAGGGCTGTCCAGTTGTCCAGAGCAAAACAACCAAGAGGATGTGTGTTCATATGTGTGTGTGCATGTTTGTCTCTGTGTGTGTGTTTATGTAGAGCAAGGTAAATCGAATATAGAAAAAGATTTATTATAAGAAATTAGCTAGTGTGACTATAGAGGCCGACAAGCCTCGTGATGTACAGTAAACTGAAGCTGGAACTCCAGGGGAAATGAGAATATAACTCCAGTCTGAAGACTACTGGGCTTGATACCTAGGAGAGCAGATATCCTGTTTGAATCCAAAGGCAAGAAAAACATTGCTCAAATGCAGTCACACAAGAAAAGTTCTTTCTTAGTTGGCCTTTTTAATCCTTCAGCTGTTTAGAAGAGGCCCCATAAAGAGAGCACAACCTGTTTTTTTTCACTCTTCCAATTCCAGTGTCAATCTCATGAAAAACACCCTTACACACACAGCCAGGATAATATGGAACCAAATATCTAGACACCCCATGACCCAGTCAAGTCGTCACATGTGAAATTAACCTTTGCGCACTTCCAGATTGTACCTACATTTTAATCTTAGCACTTCTGATCTCCTAGCCAGATAGAAGTAGTTAGAATAAGGCTCATGAAGCAATAAGGCTCATGAAGCAGTATGTGCAAGAGGCCTAATGTGCTTATTCTGAGCATCACACAGATGATTAGTGGCTTAGGAAAGTGTTTATTTTGGGGGGTTTTAGATAGATATTTCATGTAATATTAGCAGATAGAGTAGAAAAGTAAATTTTCAAGTCTACCATAAATTTCATATGAAACTAATTCAGTAGCTAATTTAGATTGATTTATATATTTTCTGCATTTCTTATTGTGGTACATTAATAGAACACAAATTTAACTATTTTTTTAAAGTGATTAATTCAGTGGGAACTAGCACTCTTGCCACTTTATATAACCACCACCTCTCTCTAGCTCTATATTATCTTCATCACCCCCAAAAGAAACCCTATACCCAATAAGCCATTGTTTCCCAATTCTTCTCTCCAGACTATTTTGCATCAGCCTATCATACAATGTATCTGGCTTTTTTCACTGAGCTGAATGTTTGTGAGGTTCTTCTTTTGGTGGTTGAATTATATTTCCTTTTATGTATACACTGTTTTTTTAAATTCATTCATCTGATGGATTTGGGTTATTTTACCTTTTAGCTATTGTGAGCATTGCATTTACAATCACATGTATGTGTGAATTTGTTTGAATAGCTATTCTCAACTCTTTGGGGAATATACCTAGGAGTGGTATATAATTGAACCAGGTTCAATTGATTGTAACATGTTTGTGGAATGTGTGATCCATTTAAGAAAGATTTTAGTAAGATTTCCATGCATATAAAAAATGGATAATGTTCAATTTCTAGAACATTTTACTGATACTGAAAATCTCAAGGTTTCATTTTTTTCTGCTATAGTATTCCACTTGCATCTGATATAGCATTTCTGCCTTTTTAAAAGTCATTATTTGTGTTTATGAAGGTTAATAACATTATTCCTTGCTGTTCACCAGTGAGGTAAAATCTTCCTTGCTCTAGTAAAAAAAAAACAACAACAAATCTTTATAAAATTAGATGTCTTTCTTGAGGTGTTTTTCTAGCAGCTATGTCTCTGGTGACCCAAGGAGCACATTTGCAAGATGATTGACGGGATGCGAGGTGCAGCTTGTAGTCAGAGGTAGAGTGACACACTGAATGCAAATGAGACATAGATGTTCCACTAAATAAAAATCCAGTAAAATAGAGGCTTTTTATTACACCCATACAAGTGGGACACTAAGGGATGGCTATGATTCATTTCTGGCTTCACAAAGAAAATTTACAAGTATTTACATCTTTCAGAAAACAAAGATGTAAGTTTAAGCAATATTATCAGAGCACTACAGTATAGAATATGACAACCCATGAGTATTGAAGACTTTGTGGAGATCATAATTTAATTTCCCAGTCTGTATAGCAATATTATCTAAAATCTCTGTAACTCCTTATTAGAATTATTTTTGTAAGACCAATTCTACAATGCTTAGGAAATTTGTTTTGCTGAAGCATGGGGCAAACGGGAAATATATCATACAAAGCCTTGTACGTGAATGTTCATAGCAGCTTTATTTGTATCAGCCAAATCCAAATGTTCTTCAACACATGAACATATAACTACGATATATTGATACCATGGTGAGAAAAGCCAAGCAAGTATAAACCATGTGCTTCTGTTCATATAAAATTCTATAAAGCTGAATTAGTGAAAGACCAGTGACTCTCTGAGAGGGGATGAAGAAGGAGGAGGACTGAGCACTGAGAAGCTAAAGCCACTTCAGCATGAGTTTGATCCCCACGTGTCCCGGAGGTGACCACATGGCGTGGCAGACCTCTCCTGACCCGACCCGCCTGTTGCTTCCCTCAGCAGGGTACTTTGTCCATCTGCCTGTTCTGCTCCCCACTCTGTCTCTGGTGAATCCTCTCACTGCCCCTGCACCTCTGGCCTGTACCCTAATTCTGTATATATAAATAAATATAAAAGAAAGAAAGAACTAGAAACTTTTGGAGATGAAGGATATGTGACTATCTTGGTTGTGGTGAACACTTAAAATGTGTGTAATTTATGTATGTTAATTACACATTAATAAAATTGTTGAAAAGAAAAGGCAACGCATATCTCTCCCTCATGTACATCTACTACTCCCTTGTTTCCTTCCTGAGGCACTAAGTTGGATAAACAACGTCTGCCCTATCCATGCCACTGTGTGGTTGGGAAAAACTGAACACTGACTAGTAGTGTTTGGAAAGAAGTTGTTTATAAAATAGAGTACAGAGCAATATTTTGGTTCAAAATCAATAATAGGAAAACATTTGGAAGAGACCAAAAAATTAAACAATGGCTGTTTCCTAGTAGGTTATATCTGATTTTTATTTTGTTTGTTTTTTGCTATACATGTGAATTTCTGGAAGGAGCACTAATACCTTTTGCAGTCATTGAGACTGAAACACCTATTTCAATTTTTAAATACTAGATTGTCAGTCTGGACTGCTGCAGCAACCTGTTGAAGAGCAGAGCCTGGGCTGGGTAGCCATTATTTTGCATGTGTATGTTTCAGCTGCCCTAACACTTCACCCCATTCTTTATTTTCCTATCTGTAGCTTGAAGAAGAAATCACAACATTAAGACAAGTTTTATCAGCAAAAGAAAGGCATTTGGTGGAGATAAAACAAAAACTCGGCATGAACCTGATGAATGAATTAAAACAGAACTTCAGCAAGAGCTGGCATGACATGCAGACTACTACTGCGTAAGTGCAGCGACTTCATCTGTTTTTTTTTTTAAGATTTATTTATTTATGTTTACAGAACTAGGGCATAGGCCATAGGTATGGTGGGTGAGAGGATTCACCAGAGACAGAGTGGGGTGCAGAACAGGCAGATCAATGAAGCACACGGCTGAGGGGAACAGTGGGGGTGGGTCAGGAGAGGTCTGCTGCCATGTGGTCACCTCCAGGGCAGGCAGGAATCGAACTCATGCGGAAGTGGCTTTAGCTTCTTAGTACTGTGCTTTAACCCGCTGCGCCACCAGGGAGGGCCTGTTGGCTATTAATTTTAAAGGAAAGCCTGTACTGCTTGGATTTGGGGAATGTGTTTTTCATCCCCACTACTCTAAGGAACATTTAGAGCTGGTTCAAGGCTATAGGAGATGATAAAAAAAGAAATAAAATCATATATATCTATATATATACATAATTATACACATGCACACACACACAGTTCTTGGCTCCTAAAGCACTTTAGTATCCTAAATCATAAAAAGCTCTGCACTCATATTATGTTCTATCAACAGTATTTGGACTTTAATCCTGGTTCCTCATACAGAGTTAGTAATTCCTTTGGGATTTCCTAGTTGATAGGAGCATCTTATGTTCTGATGAGGGGTCTTCTGTTGGGCTCCAGATGGGGCCTGGTTGCCTGAAAGATTCCCTGTCCTTCAGAGGGGCTGCCAGTGGAGTTAGTGGAGATCAATGAAGTCCCCTAAAAGTCCTCAAAGTGTGGGGTTTGGAGCTTCTTGGTGAGCACATGGCCATGCTGGGGGAACAGCAGGCAGGAAAGACCTGGAAGCTCCATGCACCTTCACAGGCCTGCCCCCCCACATCTCTTCCATCTGGATGCTCATCTCTCTCCTTTATTGTATCCTTTTATAATAAGCTAATGAACAGTTAAGTAAACTGTTTTCCTGAGATCTGTGAGCAGCTCTAACAAATTAATCAAATTCGAGGGAGGGGTGGTAGTGACCTCCAATTTACAGCTCGCCCATCAGAAGCACAGGTAACAACCTGGGGCTTCATTCGGCATCTAAGGAAAATTTAGAGCTGGTTCTGGTTCTCAAGTCTGAAGTGGGTTGGTGGATTATTTCTGTGAGCTTGAGCCTTTAACCTGTGAATTTGGTGCTATATCCAGGTAAATAGTGTCAGAATTGAGTTAAATTTTTGCATATCCAACTGATATCACAGAATTGCTTGATGTGAGAAATGCAGTATTTTTATCTTCTAATAGCTTAGTTATTCTCTCTCCTGAAACTTTTATCTTGGGTATAAAGAGATTTAGTAGTAGAAACAGGTACCAATAATTATCCCCAGTTTTACTAAGGGCCCTTCATAAGTTCTCAGACCTTGGCTCCTATGTGAAGATGCCTTTAGTGTTAGAATTGACTTTAAAAGGAGCCCCAGGCCTCCCTGGTGGTACAGGGATTAAAGTCTCAGTGCTGTCAAGCTACTGTCAACATGAGTTCTAACCCCGGCCAGGTAGCTAACCCACATAGTGCAGCAGACCTCTCCTGTCTCACCCACTGCTCCCCTCAGCAATGTATTTCAGTAGCTCCACCTATTCTGCTCCCCACTTTGTGTCTGGTAAATCCTCTCATTCCCCCTCTCCCCCCCAGCTCTGGCCTATACCCCAGTTCTTCTACAAAATAAGTAAATACTTAAAATAGAAGGAGACTCAAGTCTCCCTTGGTCTCCACATGAAAGGAATATGTTCTCTCCCCCTGTAAAACCTACCAATCCAATAGGTGTCCATGCTGGCCCTCCCTAAGGGCTCATACGATAGGGTCAGTGGGCGGCCTCAAGCAGGATGCCACAAGGAGCCCACCAGTTAATCTTCAGACACTACCCAACTTCTCTCAGAAGCACAGATGGCTTTTAGGCACTAAATGAAATAAGCTTATCTGTCAGTAATTTTAATTTTATGGCCTTACCAAATATTGGCCTTTGGCAGTGGGAAACTGAACAATCTCCAGTTTCCTGGTTCTGTTTGTCTCTGTAGTTAATCCAGGTGTAGGGAGGGGGTTTTCTGTCATAATCATCTGAGCCTGCTGCTGGGGTGTATAAGAACCTGCTTTGGCTCCCTGCTGACCTGCAGGGATGGGCCTGCCAAAGGAAGGCCATTGATGCTGTTAATTCTGTCGAAGGGAGAACGGAGTAGGAACTATGAGTAATGAGTGTGTCAAATTGGCCCCCTTCCAGTACTGTCTCATCTCTGTCCACAATCAGATCTACTGTGACAGTTTCATAAAATCATTTTCTAGTTTCTACTACTGCTCCTCCACAATCTCTACTTCACAAGGATTTTTTTTTAAAGATTTATTTATTTATTCATATAGAACTGGGGTACAGGCCAGAGATGCGGAGGGTGAGAGGATTCACCAGAGACAGAGT